GGTGTTATCATTATGAACTGAACCTAAACTCGTTTGTTTGTCAAGTATGCATCAGGAAACTTGCTGATCTGAGTCTTTTCTTGTGTGCTTCTGCATTGAAACATAACTCTTGTGATTTAACTATAATGATTAAATTCAGTTGAATCTCTAAAAGGTTTTGAAGTTTTGGATTACAGATTTTTGGGAAACTCACCAACCAAACTTTATCTTCCTTTCCTTTCACAGGCTGCCACCACTAACACCAAGTCTGCACTTAGTGCCAGAAGTAAAAAAACAACTCTACCAGCAGATTTCCAGTTTCCTCCAGAGACGCTCTCCCAGCTCAGCCTCAAACCCTCCAGCACAGTAAGACTTATTTCTTTTTACCATTTCAGGCCATACTTTATGTTAGCATTTCATAATTTAATTAAAATTATTAACTTTTTTAGATACTTCTAACTCTGCAGACATGATTTAATATTTACATCTATTTTCTTTTTTGTGTTTTCTTTAATATGGCTTGCAGTATCACATGGACTTCCTATTTACCTCTGTGAAAATGCGATATCTCAAAAATGATCTCGGATGTGTTTGAATCTCATATCAACTGTTCGTTTTGTTTTTGTTTTCATAAAATTGGGCAGTTTTACAGTCAGTATGTAATTTACTCAATATTTCCATAATTGAGTGCAAGTTGTTTGGGACGTATTAATATTGATCAATCTGGTCTTGTTTACTCTAGTTAAGTCCAGAAGGACAGAAGAGGCTGTCTGCAGAGCTCGGAGAAGGCATTGGAGATTATGACTACAACAACGCCAATGACACAGCCAACTTCTGTCCAGGTCTACAGGTCTGAAAAACTCTTTTTAGCATCACTTTTGATTTGATTCTAAGAAAGCTCAATTCAGGTGTTCATTTATCACAAGGGATTACTTCTGCAGGTAGCTCCGCACATTTCATTGGACAGGATTTTAAACCGCATGCCCGGACACATTTCACTATCAATTCTGAATTGATTATATTGTAAAATCTTACTGTTTCTGGTTTATCCAGAAGTGGTTTGGGTTATGAAACACAAATTTTAATCTTAGGGTTGTATTTTGATGTTGCAATAACTACAACAATCACTAGTATATAGATTGTTAGTATTAGTAAAGAAACGACTCGTCTTTGCCGCAACATTTGACATACTACACATGTGGCCTGTGTCTAACCATGTACATTAAATGTGATTATGCAGAACAAAAATGTCTATCTCGGGCCCTGTGGCGGCAAACTGGCACCTACTCCCCCTATGTAATACATCAATTTGTTGGAAGACCAATAAATGTATATTTTTTAGTAGAATAACCCCACTTTTTCACCATGAAACCACATCAGTGATTTCTATCCACTGTTTTGCTGTTCCTGTCGTATTGAGTGCAGTCATTTATTCTTGTCTACTGCTAGTATCTCCTCCTGCACAGCCTGGTTGTACTTGGTGTGTTTTTTATTGCATATTTTGCAGGTACTGTGCTGTGCTGGAGTTTGATGTAGTTCCTTATTTAGGTAATAAATCATGATCAGAGGCTGACACAGGGCTGTCAGTCTCACAAATCCTTGGGCTTGTCTCACTGACTGTGCTAGGAAACAAAAAGACATGGCAGTGCTATAGCAATTATATCTCTATATGATATTTTTATATCAGAGCGACTGTTTAAAACCTTTTCTTTTATGTATCACACACCTGTGACTGACACTACATGGAAACTACACCCTTTCTGCATCAAATCTTGTGGAAGAAGCTAAAAGCAACATCTAACCTGCTGAGGAATGAAAGAATTAACAAATCCCCGTCACGGCAAATCAACAACTGATTAGAAACCACATGTCAAATCTTTATTCATCTTCTGTTTCAGGGAGGTGACAGTGATGATGATGTTGAAGGGTTTGCTGGTTCAGATGACACACAGCCTTCGAGTGACAGCATGCCTCTGCCCTCACAAGATCTCGAGGGCGTGTCCACCTATGGGGAGGAGGATCTGGTACCTGAGCCACACAGGGTGAGCAATGCAACTAGTTTAGTCGTGCTTTAAGTAGCTCTTCCCTTTAGTACCATCTCTGCTCAAAAGCTTCTGCAGTAATATTTTTTATCATACCCCACTGAAAAATAGAAGATGGAACTGAAACAACTGTATGACTTAGGACAAATAGTCATTAATAATGGATATATTATAAGCAGAATTTTTGTTTGTGAACTTCTATAGTTCTACTTTGATTGTTTTTGTAGGTCAACAAGATTGAAATCAACTACGCCAAGACAGCAAAGAAAATGGACATGAAGAGACTCAAGAACAGCATGTGGACTCTTCTGACTGACAGCCCAGAAAAACCCACAGAGGTAAATTACACACCGCGTATTAGCTTCTTTTTTCTGTGGTGCATACAGTGACAAATTTCAGGTTGGTCATGCATCACATGCGGTGGGCACAGTTGCCTTCCAGGCGGCCCTTTTTCACTGCGTTTCTGTTTGACTCTGTGTTTTATTACTTGTTCCTTGGTGTTCCCTGTAGGGGGTGGAGACTGTGGAGAAACCTGAAGTGTGTGGAGAGAAAGTGTTCAGTCAGACCACAAAGACGCTGCTTCAAAGGTATAAGCAGATCTCTTGTCATGTCTGCCATGGCACAGCACTAATGAGGAGTATCAGACCTCACCAAAAGAATATTGGATATAAAATTATGGTTTGAGATACAGAAGTTTCTCTGACAAGCTAGTGTGAAGCTATACACGATCAAATCACGGTGTCACTGAAATACTAATTCCATCAGAATCATGAAAATCATCATTGATGAAATATAAAATTCTCTCTCTCACTCCCTCTCTCTGTCTCTCTCTCACACATATTCAGATTACCAAACACAATGGCTCAGAACCTGTCAGTGGCACTGGCGTTTGTCGCTTTACTTCATCTTGCCAATGAAAAGGTGAGTGTTGTTTGCTGTATGTTTTGTTTATTTGATTTCATTTGTTATTATTATGATATATGTACTCTCCTCATGTTGGTGTAAAATGAGCTGCAGCATCAAGGGATGAAAAATTAAACCAATGTCAAACTGCACTTCCCATAGCAGCCAGATTGGCTTTAAATGCAAAGGTGGTTAAAGCTAATATGATGTCACCCATTTATTTTGCACTCTGCACCTTGTTGGTTTATTTTGGAGCCAGAAATTATGTCACATGGGTCAAAGCACTGAGTGCTATCACAGCTAATGTTTGTAGTTTGTATATATATATAGATATAGATATAGCTTTAGCACCAGGGAACTTCACTAAGGAAGGAATTTGGGTGTGTAACTGGGCAATTTATTTTTCAGTTCATTCATTCATTCTTTATTCCCTGAAATAGGATGTCCAAACATTCTCAGTCCTGATTGGCTGGCAGATGTTCCTTAAAGTTACATATCTGGTTCAGCAAGTCCACGGAGTACATTAAAATGTAGGGCAACCGTGGCTCAGGGGGTTGGGAAGTGCATCTGTAACCGGAAGGTCAACGGTTCAATCCCTGGGCTCTCTGTCCTGCTCGTTGTGTCCTTGGGCAAGACACTTCACCTACCGCCTGCTGGTGTTGACCAGAGGGGCCGATGGCACGATATGGCAGCCTCGCTTCTCAGTCTGCCCCAGGGCAGCTGTGGCCACTAGTGTGTGAATGCGAGAGTGAATGAATAGTGGCACTGTAAAGTGCTTTGGGTGCCTTGAAAAGTGCTATATAAATCCAATCCATTATTATTATTATTATTATTACTGCTGTGTCACGCTTAAAAAGTCGTCAGTCCTAATGTTTGTTTTTGTCTTTTTTACAGAATTTGGAGCTGGTGAAGGTTGATGACATGTCAGATATCATCATTAAACAAGGCCACTGAGGGAATTATGAATCATATGAGGCTTACTGCTACTCTTTTCTTCAATTCTCTTCTTTTTCAAGTCTTTACTTTGTATATTTTTTTTCTTTTTAAACGCTGTCCTGTTTCTATCTCCTGTCTCTACCTGCTTTTATTCTTTATAATTATAGTATGTTTGTTTCTCCTTTTAGTTTGTGCAATTGATGCATATCCTGTGTGTAGCTAATTACTCAACAGCACACAAAAAATGTACATTGTGAACAGAAATAAAAGCTTTTTTTTTCTCAAATCTGATGGAGAAATTAAATCCAAAACATGTTACCCCACATTTTCTTGTTCTGTGGCAGTATTTCAGCACACTTAAACAATGGTTTTCAAACAGCTTTCCCAAATTGTCGTAATGCCTTTGATTATTTTTAGCTGCTTCTGATTCAAAGCAGCTTGCAGCAGTCATGACAAAAGGGCATGCAATGACCAGTATTCAATCTTCGTCACCAGTTTCACCAGACAAAGAAACCGGTTTGTCAGGAGTCAAGCTGCTGGCTGGGTGAAATTTGTGACACAAGGAGAGGGAGGAGTAACTGAGCTGAGGCCACTGCTGCTAATCTAAGTGCTGCTCTCCAGTGTCACTGTTGTCCCCTTGAAATATTAACAAAAAAAACATAAACAACTACATCCTCCTTTACTATCAGAAATGCATTGTGTTACTTTACAGTTATGTTAAGTTAGAAAGCAAGTTTGTCAGCCATCCTGAACACAAAGTTACAAAAGGTTCATCGCTAAGGGTTTCACCGCTAACATATCATGGGTACATCTTGGTATGACGCCTTCTTTAACAATAGAAGAGGGACTGCCGCCTACAGGTGTTTTTGGAGACAACAAAGGAAGTAAACGTATGCACCTGCAAAATAAAAGCACGGAGGTCGACAATGAAAGTTTGACTCGCTTAAAAATCATTACAATTGTTTTACAGGTAGTGAAAATCAATATGTGAATACGAGTATATAAAATACAATGACGATATTACTGTGTAAAGATTAAAGGAATCATATTTTTTTATATAATCTTTTTTTCTCTAATGTTTACCCAACCACTTCAGCTGAAAACGATAGGTTGCTTTATTTTGGAAACCAAAGGGCGGAAACGGAGATTGAGTTCACTTAACAGTTGGAAGAAGGCAATTAAGGGAGGAAAGAAAACCACCAGGAAGTAAAACCGAGAGAAACGTATTTGCTTCGAGACTTTAAACTGTTTTTTAAAGGGTTTTAAATCAAATCGTCAACTTTTATAGAAAGTAGACCCATCAGTTTACGGATAAAGGACATTTTTTCCAGCAAGATGGACACTGATCCGGTAGGTGATAATGACCTTTGTTTATGTTGTTCAGAAAGCCTCCCCGCCGTCACCACTTAGTTCAGCGACAGTCTCAAACAGGTGTACTTCCACATAAATCAACCTGTACTTAACTTGAAACCTACCTCGGCTGAAAATAATAAGTCAGCGCACTAACTTTTTCATTTTTGAGGGAGCAAGTTCTAAGTAAAGCAGCTTAACAAAATGGCCTAATTACACACGGTGCTCGGTACGTGTTGGAAATGATTTTTGTAAAGTTGAGATGCGTTTGTTTTCCATAAAAATAAAGCCGCATACTTCAAGTAAACGTTTCCATGTACTACTGTCTATTTATAATACATGTTTCTAACTGATAAAACGGTTGTTTTTCACGTATTTCAAGAATGTTTCACAGGTCGTTGGTGGAGCCAATCGCCT